CGCTGTCTCCTTTTTCCAAGGATAGATTCTTAGGATTCTCCCCCATGGGCAAGGCTGGGTGTTCACTCCCAGCACACAGGATTTCTAGCAGCTCCTGCTTTTCTCTCTAAAGATTTCCCCTCTTAATTCTCTTTCATGGAGAGTTTTCTCAACACATTGGACTATCGCCAATGAGATCAAGCAAATGCTGGCAAGATCAAACGTGAATCAGGGAGGTCTCTTTCATTTGCTGAAGTGACCTGGTATGATCTGGGGTTTTGGGTACCAGGGCCCCTCAGTTCCTTCACTACACGCTGGGGGTGGCTCTGCGGCACATCAGCCCAAGTCTGAGACCTCTGCTTAAGACCACGCCAGCAATAGAGTCAGGGGCTGTATATGCTGGAATTTGAGTCCTTGTTCTCTGGGAAACTGAAGTAATTATCTTTATTTGGGGTCCAGGGACCTGAGAGGCAGCATGATAAGTTGGTTGCACTGGTTGGCTGTGCTAGGAGGACATTTTAATCAGCTCGACTGCCAATCACCGTGACAGCTTACACTCAAATACCCCACCCAAAGGAGAACACCTGGGTCATTCAGTCACACTGAAAAATAGGGAGCACAATAGCTGTCATTTTCTAGGGTTTTCTTTTTAAAGAAAAAAGCCTACTAAATATTATCTGCATATTTTCCTTAATTTGTTTTAAAATCTAGGCACCCATTTCTTATATATCAAAATACTAATTTCATACATATTTCCTGTAACTAAAATTGTAATGGAGAACTAATGCTAGAAAACACTTGACTGTAACTCTACAGGCTTTTTTTTTTTAGAATGACATTTTAAATTTCAGGTTCTAGAAGTTGTAGAAGATATGCAGATTCATAAAAGTAAGAAATCAATTAGCTGTGCTCTGAAGCAATGGGGGTGAGTGCTCTGGGTTTCGGTCTGTCTCTGCCTGGATGGGAGCAGGCTGTAAACAGGAAGGAGAGGCCATGCGTGCTGTGAGAGGGGCGGCGGAAGGTGCTTGTGAGTCTGGGTCCGAGTGGGCCCCTGAGCTCGGCTCACTCTTGGGGGGCCACCTTCCTCTCAGCGGCCACCACCCTTCAATGGTAGCTTGTACCCTTCAATGGTAGCTTGCATTCAGTGTTGCCAGAGATTGTCAACTTGATCAAGGTCTCCTCAGGCGCCCCTGAAATTTTCCGCTCAGCCTCAACTTTTGGATTTCTGTGTCAGTCCCATCATTGCTCAGGTTTAGCAAGAGTCCTGCTAAGGTTGTTTAGCAACACCTCCTGCCCCCATCCTCCATCCTCCATGTCTGATCACCCTGGATACCTAGTCGGGTTCCTTATCCTCCACCATTCCCCTCGTGGTGTCTGATCACCACAGCCTGCCTTCCTCAAAAAACCCTTTGGGTCAGTTTATACAGAATGCCCCCATATGCCTGATGTTTTTTAGTAATTTTCTAACCACTGACCCTTTCCCTGCTACTTGGCTATAAATTCCCACTTGCTGTATACAAACTTGAGTTGACTCTCCCCCACCCATTGCAGTGGTCCCTACACCCATCAAGTTGGTCTTTAACAAGTACTGAATCATTGTTTCCTTAACAGTGCTGGCTGTCTTCCTGGCTGCTGCCGGAGGCTCTGCCCTCGCTACCACCTACTGCTGCACCCAGAGGGACTGGGGTTCTCTGTGTATTAATCTCTATCGTTACATTCTCTCTTCTGTTCAGGCACCAGGCCTCAATGAAATGGAATTTTAGGAAAGCTCAGAGCTTTCTTCAGTATGGGATCTCTCAGTGAGTCCCAGGCTCACTGGAATTTGCAACTAAGTGTAGGATATGAGAAAACACTCATTAGAAAGTCTTTTTGAATGAACAAGGCATAGTTTGATCCCAGCATCCTTCTAAGGTGCCCCTCTTGGGCCACATTGGAAGATCCTTTGGGCTGGGACTGACTTTTGTACATTAACACACTTTACATGGTTGTCGAGGAGTGTCTGTTGCTTTGTGTTAAGCATGTAGAAGATGGTCAAGGCCGAACCATCAAGCACTTGCTGGTAATAAGTGGGTGAATCTACCCTTTGCCCTTGGAGAAGTAACTAAACCAGGAGCCCTAGCTGTGAGTTAGGAAGCCCCCTCTAAACCTTACCTGTCCCTTCCTGCTTGCTCATTACACCCCCAACCCCATCCCCCTTGTTGATTGGGGGAAACATTTGGGGGGGCAGGTTAGCATAATGGTTTATCACTCTAAATAGGAACTCTTTTGGATGCTGGATTTATCTATTCTGATTTATATAGAGAAATGAATAAAGTTCATTATATATTTTTAACTTTTAGAAAATCCACGTTTGGCTTTCTACTTCTGCTGTGCTCATCCAAGCCTCATGATTCAGGCATTACTCATGTCGTAGCTGGCCCACTGCGGTCATTTCTTGGCAGACCTTTCTCATTCATTCATTCATTCATTCAGTGAATTTTCAATGTATTAAGAATTCAGATTTTCTCAATCTCCAAGTATCTGGTAAGAAACAGAGTAAGGCAATTTCTCAGGTTGTGCAGCACAGCCTGGCATTTCCCTATTGCTCCACCATAAAAGATAGATTGGGCATGCTAGGAGCCTGGGGGCATTTCTTGGATAGCTCAGCATAAATTTGGCTCCAGCGGTGACCGGAGCTGAGGTTAGCACCAACTCATTTCTGTTGCTATTGGCTTCTTAGAGGAAAGCTACATAGCTGAACTCACACAAGAAATCAGCGAAAATAATTTCAGTTCCAACCTCCACACAAATACCTTGTCATGGTACTTTTGATTGTTTCCACTGATGCCCACGCAGGTCACACATTGTTAGTTAAGTTAATAATGACGATGTTGTTATATTAACTAAACATTTATTAGTCAACTGCAGTTGTTGAGTGTTAAGTGTTGTAAATATAGTCTCCTATGTTTCCACAGGTTTTGCACCCATGGATTCAACCAACCTTGAATAGAAAATATTCTTTAAAAAGTTATGTTGTTGCTGACACAATACTCTGTCTACATAGTTAGGCCTGCAATGGTTGCATCTGTACTGAACATATACAGACTTTTCTGCTTGTCATTATTCCCTATATAACATAGTATAACAACTACTTACATGGCATTACCTTGGACTGGGTATTATAAGTAACCCAGAAATGATTTAAAGCATGTGTGAGGATGTGCAAGGCTACGTGCTAACACTATGCCAGCCATTTTATACAAGCGGCTTAAGCATCTTTGGATTTTGATATTCTCAGGGCGGGAGAGGGGACTTTGGGGGTCCTGCAACCAATCCCCCAGAAATACTGAGGGACAACTCTATTATTTTAGTTAATCCTCACACCTGTTACTATTCCACTGTTCAGCCGTTGGAATTGAGTGCTGCTGTTAGCACCAAGATTCACATTCAGGACTATGGTCTTCCAAGGGCAGTGCTATTCTGTGCTTTTTTTCTCGCATCACCAGTGTCCCTTATACATCCCCAGCAATGTGCCACCAGCTTCCTGGACTCTTTCTAAGGTGTACTTAAGTGGCAGCTATATTGAGAAGTCTGTCTCCATGGCAGCACCCCGAGTTCTCCCCTGTCTCAACCTAGCCCCTTGCGTTTACTCTCTCATATTGTTGGATAGGTCTCTAAGTAAACTGAGCTCCCCGCAGAAGTCAGGAAGGGAGGGGACTGGGCCCTCCCCTCCCCTATCCCTGCCCAGTTTTCTCTGTACACGCCCCTGTTATCTGTTCCATTGACTGAAGAAACTGGTCTCCTGATCTTCACTGGCAAGGACCCCTGGTTTCTTTTTAGCTCTGAGGAAGTTTTCAGGGGGATGGGCAGTATTTCAGTCCTGTTTTAGGAAGTTTTTGATTTCTTAGGGGAGCCAGAGGGCCTCCTCAGCCACCCAGTTCAGAGGTAAACACTCCAGGCTCAGTGCCTCTGGGCAGTCTGTCATTTTAATGAACCTATTTACAAGGTAGGAAGCAATTTTCTTAAAGTTGCACAAAGTTCTGCTTGGTCAAAGATAAGTGTCTCCCAGCTGACCCTTTTTGTTTGGATTTTGCCCAAGGCCTTTGGCTCTGCCTTCGTTGCTAGTCTACAGAAAGCGGGGAGGATGTTCAAGATTCACTTCGCTACTGCTTAGCCTATTAGGAAGCTTTGTTTCGACCTGACTGGAAGGGTGCATTCACACCAGATTTATCGGAGCAGGGGCCCCTTGCACTCCAGGGAAGAAAAAACAGAAATCTTTCAACTGTTTAGAAAACAGAATGGTGGAAATAGTTCCCAAGTACGGCCCAGCTGGTTACAGTGGTACTTACATTGTGCTTTATTATCAGAATAAGTGTTTGCTTTCTATTGTATAGCTTTGGGCTGAGCCTCTATCTTGGTCAAGAGTTTTCTTCATATTTAACTTCTCTTTGTTTTAAACTGCAATGGAAGCTGGTCTAGGGGACACAAACAGGAAGGGACGTTATTTTCTTCTTCCTTTCATGATGGGTGAAGAGCCTTTCATCCAAGTCTGAATTTTGGTCCCTTGATTACCTTTTCCCTCAGGATGCTGTCTCAGTGTCATCCTGAGTTGTTATGAAGAGGCGATTCCCAGGTAACTATGAGTGGCAGGTTCTTAGTCAGGAACCGCTGCCCGCCCCCCCGCCTGCTGTCGTTCACTGAGAAGGTGTTTTTGACTTTTAGCAGAATGTAAATTAGCTTGGCTGTGGCTCTATTTAAAAAAAATCTCTTAAGCACCGAAAAATTTTGCTCTGGGGGGAATTAAAGCTCTCAGTTTGTGAAGCAAGAGGTGTACTTGTTCTTTGCTTTTTGATGTCAGAAAATAACCTCCATGTCTTCATGACCCTACCTTTCCAATAAGGTGATCCATGTGTTCTAAAAGGTTATCTCATCAAGTGTAATTTTAATTTGACTTTTGTGACTCAAAATTGAGCTGTAAGCTTAAGCAAACAAATAAACAAAATTTCTAAGCTCCCACATATCTCTGAATTGAAGTCGATTACCTGGTTCAATGTTGAGAGAGTAGCTGTCTATTTCCAGATCTAGTAGTTGGGCTGCAGCCGAACGAACATCCTCCAAGACCCTGTGCACAGCCTTGGTGAGGTTGTACGGCACCGACTCAGCAAACCTCACTTTGCTATTCACAATCACACTCCCATTTCTGAAGTTAAGTATTTCCAGTTGCTTAAATCCTGTAAGATTGGATCGTAGATATGGAACCAGCTGCAAAATAGAAGATGGTTTACTCTTAAGGGTGTTCTAAGAGCTCAGCTGCTGCTAATTCCATTTCTACTCATTTTTCACTCTCTGAGGGATAAATTTCCATTCCTTATTATTTAGTTGTTTATTTTTGTGTGTTTGGGTTGCAGGTGAGACCAGGACATCACTGCTTAATGATCTATTTGCCATGATTATGTCCCATATTTCCACGTTTCTGTCTGTGTATTGAGATGGATGGTCAGTGGTTTTCTTCATAATGAATTGTGAGAACAGAGAATCTAAAAAATTCAGGCCAATGCTATCAGCAAAGTAGGAATGCCAGGTTCAGTTGTTTGTGTTTTTTTAAAATACATGTAAATAAAAACATGTTCCAAACTGAGCCCAGGAGCAGACTGCTCTATGCCTGTGTAAATGGACATCTATTTGGAAGCAACCAATTTGAAATGACCTTTTGAAATAAACAATAGCTTAAACATCAGCTTGTCTGTTTAGGCAGGACACGTTTCCCCGCCAACACCTATGCAGGGCAGTGGAAGACCAGGGGGCTGGCAGCTAGTCCTGGAACCGCCCCTAACTCGCTGTGTGAGACTTCCTCAAGACACTTAACCACTGTGTTGTAACTCGGTGCCCTTATCTGAACTGAGGGAGAAGAAAAAGTGGTTTCCTAAGGACCTTTTCCAAACTATAACTTAATAATATCAAAAGTATGCCCCAGGCATTGTGCTTCAGGCTCCCACACTGACCTGCCTCTGTGAGCCACAGCCATCCTTGAGACCCCTTTTCAGAAATGTTTGAGACTCAGCAATGTCTGCCTTGTTCCTGGCTCTGAAAGTGAGCCAGTCACTCATGCACCGACACCTGTGAGCCCAGGGAGCATGCAGATGCAAGCTGCCACCTCCCAGGCTTGGCTCAGACCTGCTTTTGTTTTGTCCCTGTCCCCACCCTACCAGAATTTTTACTCTGGTCCTGACTTGCACTTCTCTATATTGCCCTAACCCTCAAGGTTATTGTAAAAATAAAAATAAATAAATAAAATGAAATGTTACAAAGAGTTTGGAACTTCTTTTTTCAATCTACTCTCTTGTGATTTTGCCTACTCATTCTTGGTGTGTTAGCATCGCTTGGAACTCTGGTGGGAATTCCCTGTCTCCAGGTAATGTGCAAATGACTAGCTGCTCCTCTCTCCAAAACCCATCTCCTCTTTTTCATAAAAAAGAGGCTGCCTAGTTGGAGACCACATTTCCCAGCCACCTTTGCTGCAAGGTGTGGCCATGTGACTAGTTCCCACCAATGGAATATGAATGGAAGAGATGTGGGTAAGTTTGGTATCACATACTTAGGAAATTGCTTGCCCTGGGATTTCTCCCTTTCCCCTTCACACAAGTGGCAGCAGGCTTGTACCAGCGATCCAGCTTTGACTGTGTGGATGAGGAAACACCCTCGGGGTTGGCAGAGTTACAAGATGGAAGGAATATAGGTCCTTGGGTGACACTGGATGACAGAGCTGTCTCACCCACCAAGTGAAAGAGAAATGAACGTGTATCTTATTGAAGTTACTGTATTCCTGATCTCTCCATTATGTCAGCTTAGCATGCACCCTAATGAATACAGCTGGGCTAGGTCCACTGGAACTCCATTCCCTGAGATTGTCCCACTTACCTACTCACCTCATTGTGGGTGGCAGTGGGGGTGAGATGGCACAAAATCTTCCTTTAACATTCACTTGAAGAATAGTTTTATCTGGCTTTAATTTACATAATGATTTAACTTATGTGACACTTACAAATATTTTTTCTGTTATTGTCAGAAATTCTCCACTGTTGATATGCATTGACTTCAATTGACATTGACTGTGTAGAGGTATCATGTGTTTCAGTATTTCTCATTGCACATGCATTTCTTATTGCACACGTAGAAACAAAACAACTCTGTGAGTTTGGGGGTGTGTTTTATAATCAAACATATATGCAGTCATGATAATCTTCATATTTTCTTTGTTAGGGATCAGGAACGAAGCCATTTATCCATTATTTGTTTGTTTGTTTGTTTTGAAAGACCTTACCAGGAACTAAAAAAAGAGTCTGTACACCTGAACTTTTGGCCTTTGTGCTGGACCTTTCTAGCTTTGAGTCCTTTTTGGTCAGAGGGCTGGGAAACAGCTTGTGACATGATAACATAGGAAAAATCTGCTCATATTGCTTTTAAATCTCAAGTTCAGAACTTGAGTGACTATGTATCGTTCCTAGGAAAATAAGTTAGGAAGAACTCTAATGAAAAGATCTCAAGGATAAGTTTGTTCCCAGGAGGCTGGGTGGCAGTGTCTGCTCACCTATCCGCCAGAAAACCCACTTTCCTGTTGGATCTAAATCCATCTCAATGCTCTAGCGGAATGCCTCCAGCAACCGTTATGTCAGATGCTTGCCTCTTCCAATTTGCATTGCTCAAGACAACCAACGATTATATTATAACGTAAGAACAGAAAAAAAAGAAGAGACACGCAGAGAATTATCAGTGCCCACTCACTAGCTGTGTGAATTGTTGCTCCAGAGCTTGGTATTCCAAAGAGCTCTTGTTGAACAGGTGGTCAGAGAAGGGCATGTTGGCCATGTGCAGGCTGAAGAACACCACCAGCTCTCGGCCCCTGGCAGCGATGGTCACAGGGCTGGTGGTGATATACTGCAAAGCTGGGACAGGCGTGGTCTTCTCCAAGAAATGGTCTGGGGTGGAAACATAGCCACTGAATCCTGGTACCTCAGAGGAGGCAGGAGTGTTAGATAGATCTATTTCATCTAAGTCTCTGACTAGATCTTGGCTGCCTGTGCTCAACCTGCTGTCTTCTGAAGATGCGGGCAAATGTGAAATTTCCAGAGCCGATTGGCTGATGGCCAAATAATTATCAATGGGGATGGTTAGCCCTGGGATCAGTACTGTCTGGTCAATGGACATTATGTCTGTGGCACTTTGACCAGTCACGGAGAAATTGCTTGATGCAGTAAAGAAAGGTAGAGTGTCTGACAGGGAGACAGGCCGCAGTAGGCAGAGACAAAGAATTGCCCATGGAGAAAGCCCCTGAGACCATTCACTATGTGGAAGCAGTCTCCCAAACAATAGAAGGAATAAATATCCAAAGTTACATTGATTATGTTCATGTCATATTTTGAAAAATAAGAAATTGATACAGAAAGGGCAGGCAGCCCAGGGTCTAAACGTGGGGAGATAGCCGGTGGGTCCTGAATCCACTTTATTCTGGCTCAAAACTTCTAGATGTATGAGACTAAAAAATTACCAATTATCTGTAATTTCTGGAATTACACTCAGCCAGGCAGGAAATCTAGGAACCAGGTGGTAAAAGTTGGCTAAGTTGCCAGGTGATGCCAAAGTGTGGGTGGCACTGACTAAATTTGGATCCCATATCCCCACCTGGAACTTCCAGCCAACTAGCCATGCAGTTTTGTTCCAGAAATTTTATTTACTTTCCAATCATGCAGGTTTGTATTGTCTTCAATTGGATTTTTGGAGGATTCCAGTTATCATATTTTCATAGTTTTAAAAACTAAAATTTAAATTATGCTTTTCCAAAATCGTTCAATCTGACTGAACAACTTGCCAATTTGCAAAATAAAAGAGTGAACATGTCATCTACACACATAATTTGACCTTTACATTGACCATACAACTTGCTACATATTTGATAATATTTAAAGGTTTTGTCATATTTACAGGATTATACCTTGATAATTTCTACCACCATTTTGCATTGTTTTCTTGGTAAGTACATACTGAACTACTCAAGTCCATTCACATTTGGTCCAAAATGAAAATCATAGAAAGTGTTTATGAACTAAAAAGTGATTAAATAAAGCTATCAGAAAGATTGGTGAGTTATTAAAATATTCCAATAAACTTAAATCCAGAGCCACTGACAATATTTAAGACATTAGGTAGGTCAAAACAGGGAGCTTTCTGTGATTACTTCAGTGGCATTTTGGCGAATATGTGGGAAAGCTGGACTGAAATCTAAATGTTAAGCATGATGAATGAACTGTCTGGATGCAGATATAATCTTTGGACTCTCAGTCAGCTAATTTACTGAGTACAATCACCCAAACTGAAATTCCAAGTGATAAACAGCTCTGAGAGGTGGAATCATATTAGTTTTATTAGTTTCTTAAAATAAAACCTGCCTGTTAGCGAACTGTACCCAGATTTCAGAGAAGAACCCTCTTTCTCTCACCTTGGGAGGGTGCCTACATGTGCCTACCCATATATTCACTCAACTGTCAGAAATTATGTTTCCTAACATCTAAGATCTCTCTGGATATGCCATTGTAGTTTTGTTCAAATCTCCATCACCATGGACTGAATGTTTGTATCCTCCCCAACTTGTATGTTGAAGCCCTAATCTCCACTGTGAAAGTATCTGGAGGTGGAGGTAATTGGGATCTGAGGCTGAAGCCCTCATTAATGGGATTAGTGCATTTAAAATCTCTCTCTGTGCCACGTGAGGATACATCAACAAGACACTGGTCTGTTAATCAGAAAGAGGGCCCTCATCAGGAACCCAATCAGCTGGCAACTTGACCTTGGACTTCCCAGCCTCCAGAACTGTGAGGACTAAATTTGGGTGTTTACCACCCAATCTAACATATTTTGTTATAGCAGCCTGAGCAGACTAAGACATCCACGGAAAGATCCGGGATGAGTAAATTTAAAGGCTTCAGGTGTAATCAATGATGGGATTTGAGTTCTTCATGCCTTGGGGAAAGGCAGGTGAATTTGTGTTCCTGTGATGTGATCTCTGCTGCTCCAGATGACAAGGGTCAGGGAACAAGCTCAATGACAGACACCTTTGTTCTGCCCGTGGGCCAGCATCTCATTGCTCACACCTTGATCCCTATATAGACTTTAGCCAGATTAAAATAGTTGCTGTCTTATGCCATAAACAAATAAAAATGAATTTCCAATTCTCTTTGTAGCATTTTAACATTAATCATTTACATTCACAATAAACCTGTCCCAGATATTTTACTGATAAGAACAGTTGACTATTTAATGTTGGGTTGCTAGATAAAATACAGGATTCCCATTGGAACATACTTAGACTAAAAACATTAATTGTTGTTTATCTGAAATTCAAATTTAACTGGGTATCTTATATTTTTCTTTGCTGAGTCTAGAATCCCTATTTAAGTATGATTTTAAAGGACTCCTACTCTTTCTTGGCTTGATATTGAAACTATGAAGGCCATAATCAATTCTTTTGAAATTAAAATATCATCTAAACCTTACCACTAGTTATGAATGTATTTTAATTCATTAAGTTTTCATCAAATTTGTATGTAGAAATTAGGGATGGCAGTGACACAGGTCACTGAACATGAAGATTTATGCTGCAATGGAGAAGTCAAGCCTGAAAGCAAAAGCCATTCATTTCAGCAGGAGGTTTGCAAAATAAACAGACTCAGAATAACTTGGCTCTTTAGGTATTGTGTTTGGGTGTGTGTTTGGGGGGGGGGTTCCTGTGAGGGTGTGAGATGTGTTTATATGTGTGTAAGATGGGGTACTGGTTAGAAGAGCAGCTTTTGGGTGTAGAGGAAAAGGCTATTTTGGTCACTCTCTGGCCAGGAGACCTGTCAAAAAGCAAAGGCTGCAGATAAATAGCTCAAACCAAAGTAGGTGACTGGGGTCTAGCTGGAGCCCAGAGTGAGACAAGTGGGCCAGCAGAGTGAAGCCCAGTGGTGAAGTGGGCTCGACGTGCGCAGCCGGGAGCCTCTCCAGCAGATGGAGGGAGGCCCAGCAGAAGATGAGAAAGTGTGAAGGACAAGTGCAGCTGAAAGGCTATTTTAAATCTTGCCACAAATATGTAGTGTACATATACACACATATACACTCATCATAAGCATCAAGGGGTCACCTATTTTATGTTCAAAAATCCAAAAAGAAAGATTCCATGATCTCCTTTTGATTTTCAAGTGGTATGATCAACAAGTTTTTAATTCCATATCGAACAAGTCTATTCTTATTTATCATAACAAGAAAGTTATTATCTTCCTTTTTGGCATATTATAGAGATAGAACATAAGTGTTTATTATTCACTCATTCAACTAATAGGTATTGATAGCCTACTATGTGCCAGACACTGTTTGAGGTATTGGGATATATCAGTGAATAAAACAGAAGATTTTGTTCCAAGGAGCTTACTGTCTTGTACAGGACGATAGAAAATAAACAGAATAAACAAAGGGCCCTGGCTGGTGTGGCTCAGTGGACTGAGTTCTGGCCTGCAAACCAAAGGGTCACTGGTTCGATTCCCAGTCAAGGGCACATGCCTGGGTTGCAGGCCAGGTCCCCAGTAGGGGGTGCACGAGAGGAATCACACATTGTTTCTCTCCCCACCTTCCCTTCTCTAAAAATAAATAAAATCTTTAATTAAAAAAATAAAGGAAAATATATAGTATAACGTATGCTGGTAAGTGCTATGGAAGTAATATGAAGCAGGAAAGTGGCCAGGACTGCTGGGGTTATAATTTTGCATAGAGTGGTCCCTGAGAATATAGCATTTGAGCAAGACCAGAAGGAAGTGAGAGAGATTAGCCATGCAGCAAATGCAAATGAGAAAGCTAAAGAAGGGTGTCGTTCATGTTCCAGGAGCAGCTAGCTGAGAGAGCAGCATGGCTATAATGGAGCTCTATACTACCAATCAAGTGTGAGGGTGACTGAAGATATGTTCAAACACACCAAGTCTCAAAGAATTCCTCCCAGGCTCCCTTTCTTAGAATTTTTTTACCTAGAATACTGGGGAAAACCAGGAAATAGGAAGAATGGGATACTGATAATAAGTTAGGGTAGCATTCAGGAAGACGGTGCAGGGCTAACTCAGGGAGATAGGTAACCCAGATATAAAAGGCAATGAGTTAAAATTAGATTAGTCTCAAGAGATAAGCCCTTGGCCATTGCACCAAATTTTTAACTTGACAAAACTGCTGACGGGTGTGCTGCACAGAACAAGAGAATAAGCTCAGAGAGAGAAGGCCTGAGATCTAGGGATCAGGGACTTCAGCTCAGGAGAATGGCCAAGAAAATTCTAGTGATGATAGAAAAGGGAAGTCTCAGGTAACAACTGTGCAAAACCCCCTAAAGATTGGTATTCCAGAGAGAAAGAGCAGGAGGGTCTGAAAATGGGAAGTGATATGTTATCTGACATGAAAAATTATACTGGAAATTTTAATGGAAAATTTGAGAAGAATTGGTGATAAGTGCAAAGAAAACTAAGCAAATGAAAAAAATCAAAGAAAACATGAATGCCAGGAAAACAGAAAGGGAACATAATTAGAGCAAATAGGTCAACTATGATATTTAATGTAAACACTGAATGTTGATTTAATAGTCATCACGATATTGAGAGGGGATAGTATCATAAGAAACTGAAATCCTTATTTAAAATAATAAAAAGTCAATAAGTAATATAGAAGATGGGTGACTCAAAAGACATATATTATGGCCCCAGCTGGTATGGCTTGCAGGTTTGATCCCCCGTCAGGGTACATACCTGAATTGCGGGTTTAACCCCTGGTGGGAATTTGTAGGGGAGGAAACCAGTTGATGCCTGCCTCTCTGCCCTTCCTCTCTCTCTAAAACCAATAAGCATATTCTCTGGTGAGGATTTCAAAAAAGACATATATTATTTAAAAATATGGGAAGAACAAATACCAAAAGAAATAGCAAACAGGGTTAAAAGGGACTACTTTTAGTAAGTGGGACTGCCCAGTGAGATCGCAAAATGCTGTAATTGTTAGAACACTTTAATATGATTTGACTTACAAAAAATTGAACCTTTTATTTTGGGACAATTTTATATTTAAATGCAGTTCTAAGAAATAACAGAGATGGACATCAATGAAAATGGCAGAGTAAGCAACTCCAAAAGTCAAGTTCTCCCTCTCATATTTGAAAGTTACAGGTAGTAAGTAGCTCTGAAGTAATAAGAAATATACAGTCGGTAGGGTAAAATAGGTTTACAGTTG